CGAATCTGAGCTGGAACCTGAAGAAGACCTTTTCTGCCGCTTCGGAGGGAGGAGAAGGAGGAGATCGCTGGGTTTCCAACCCTCGAATGCCTAGATTCCCCATCACAGCAGTTGTGATGGTTATAATCTATACCATTCCAACCCCTAAATTCCACCCTATCTCAGCAACATCTAGCCTATAAGGAATGGAAGTCTCTTGCCGTCTCTTCCCAACGCACTCCGGCCGGTTTTGTTGAGCTTAAACGACGAAATATCCAAACCCCAGCAAAACGGAATATTTCAGTTCACGTTTGATGACTTTCTTCAAACAATAAATGTAGCACCACGTTAAAAGGTATGAAGTAGAAGGAGCTGTCAGGTTTCCACGGCGCCACCCACAGATATACAGGTCGATCTCCATATACCCAAGTACCTTGGCATGTGTTTGGTCTGCCGAACTCTTATGAGCCGCCTCCCGCCGGTCATTGGCCCAAAAATCGGTGACGACATCCCTGTCGCACAATACCATTCGGCCGCAGCCATCCTATAGCATTTTCAGGCATTTCGGGTACAGCTTTCTTCTGGATCATTTCTCATCCAGGGCCCCCTTCTCCACTAACGCATTTCGAATATCTGCAATCACAATCAAGGGCTTGCGACCCATATCACGCATATCACACAACACGGTAATAGGGATTTCCAGTCCCATAGATGGAGCCACAGTGTGTGAATTTTCCCCGTGCCCTGGAACTTCTAGTCTCAGCTGATGGCGTAGTCGCCAGGTAGGGGATCCCGGTTGGTAAGGAAATATGAGGTGCCCTGTGGAACATGATAAAATATAGTAGAATATAATAAAATATAGTAAAATATAGTAAAATATCGTACGGCCCGCCGTTAATAGTAGAATAATAGAATAGGAGATGGAATATGAAACTGGGGAAAAATCGATAGAATAGTATCCACAGACAGCGTGGAATAAATGCCTCTCCCACGTCAGCATAAACTCGATATAGGCAATAGATACATAAGGTACGGATAGCCTGTATTGCTCGAGGGCAACCTACCCCCGAGAATCCGATTTGGAGAGGCAAAACACGATGGAGGAAAAAAATAAAGTAAAAGGAGGCAAAGGGGTAGGGAGAATAAATCATCTTCATATATATACCTAGGTATATGGACAGGTCCATTCATTAGTACCCACGGCCGTGACCGTGGCCGTGACTTTGCAAGCTTCGAGGGAATGCCCGGTTGACGGCTGGGCCGAATTCCCTCCTTCTCTGAGCAAGGATCCCATTCACCCACAGCGTAAAATGAGCCCGAGAGGCTCAGGAAGCATTAATCGGGGGCGTCGATGCAGTCGATAACCATCCACCCCTCCGGAATTTGACATTGAAGCCGATTTGCCCCTTTCCACAAAGTAAATACACGCAGTTGCCGCCTTTTTTGCTTGTCACCCCACTTCACAAGAACAGCCCAACTCCATATGCGTGACTGTCAGAAACGCACACCATTGACCCATTCATTTGCCCGGAACCCATGGGAAATGGGGAGCCCTTGGTGGTTCGTCAACTTTTCACAAATCGGAAGTAGAGAGCACGTGGCAGGGAAAAAAAAGGGGGTGGGGGAGGGGGGGGAGGGGGGAATCCCATTCACCAACGAAACGGCCCATGGAAGCAAGTAACTGCAGGTTATTTCCATCCCGAGAATGGGGACGCGCATTTTGAACCTGTTGTGGTGGTTGTCCGCACGGCCCATTTCTGTGGGACGTCGTTGCATTAGCATGGAAGAGAGGTTGAACATGGCAATAGGACCTTGCGGAACGCTAGTCCGCAATAGGAAGCCTAGGGGCGCCAACAATTTTCTGCCCGTTTAATTCCCACAACCGCCAACATGAGTGGCAGCAAGCTCGTGAAGAGGAAGTTTGAAGTAAATGGCTAAAATGGGTATAGAAAATTCTGGAGAAAGGTGGGGACTTATTTGAAGGATTGGCTTAAGCTGCGCCTAATAGCAATATCCTCCTTTCGCAATCCCGAGCTCTAGCTATTGAACACTAACACACAATAGATGAGGAGGTGGATATTTTTTGTCATCTTGTTTCTCCACCGCAGCAAGAAAACCTTCCCATATGAATAATTCTCCGGGCTGGGTCTTGCGATGCTTCCGTACAGCGCCTGCTGGCCCTGCGGGGACTCTATCGTGTCCCTTAGCTATCGGACTTGTGCACGCGCGAATATATGCGAGTCTCCGAATTTGGCGATGCAAGAGATTGGATACTAGTACGATGCACCAATTCTGTAAACCCCATGAACAGGAACAAACAAGGAACACCGTTGTGCCCGGTAAGCCGAAAGAGGGAATCGTGAGATACGCCATGGCCTTCAGTTAAGCAACCCACACATATCACAAATTCAACCTACCTACCATTTCCAAGCATATCAGAGCTTGGGACATGAAGTGGAATTTTTTCCCAACATTTTTCCAGCCATATAGTTTAGTGTAGACACAAGAGACCTCGGCCCTATTGCCCTACAGGATAGTCGTCGAACGGCCAGAACGTTTTCAATTCCTCCCTGTCCTGATCATCCTCCATGCTCGCCATGACGGTTTCATAGATATCTCGATGGGCTTGCCTTACTCCCTCCCAACGATCTGCAGACACCCAGCCATCTTCCTCCACACCCAGCGTCGTAATCACATCCCGCTTGATCTGCAGTATCTTTTCATAGACATCCAGCTGTTTCTCGTGGAGGCGCATATCTTCCTCACTCAACGGAGGAATGGGGCAGTTGTCGTCGTCGGTGAACCCGAGCTCTTTCCACCTGTCTCTTAACCGCATCAGTTCATGGGTGAATGGAACGAAGCCATCTCTCCATGTGCGATGGCAGTAGCGGAACGGGCGGAGGAGCGATTCATCGATCTTCCTGGTCGCGCCTAGCCTTGGAGCCAGAAGCGCCCACCCCCCCTCATATGCTTGGCCGCACAAACTTTCTGTCGCATTCTCCGGTGTTTCCTCTGTGGGAACCATGGCAAAATCAGGCACGTCGTCCGCGTAATAGAATGACGGCTCAACACTGGTGCACTGCCAATCAATGAACCCAGTCACAGTGGTTGGGTCATCTTTGGACACAAAAATATTTCTCATATGTAAGTCTGGATGGAAGAGGGTCGGTGTCGCATTGGACTGGATTTTGGGGTGCTGTATCAGCTTGGGAAACAAGGCCTGAGCAACATTCAGCAGCTCCAAATGTTTGTTCAGGGACCCCTGATAGGATGCTTGCGGCAGCTGGAGGGTGGGATGATCAGCTGGTGGCAGCCTTGAAAAGCCAACATCGATCAACGCAGAGGCATATGAGGAGAGGTCGGGCCCTGGTGGAAAGCCAAGTTAGTGAGCGAAAAGCCATTTATGGGAAACAGACATCATCTCACAAGGTCCCCTATTCGGTTTCTTGAATGCATAGTATCTTTGTTCTCCAACATTGCAATCCCAGTAAGTGCTTCTACAATGAGGTCCAATACAAAATTGATCATCAGTATCAATTCTTTGCATAGAATCAGCATCAAGGAATGCTGTGTCAGCAAAATACAAACTGCCATATGCTGGAAAGTCAAGTTGCGATATTGGCAGAATACTGAAGCAAATTGCGCCCACAATTTTCACTTTCACATGCACAGGTACATCCGCCCATACTTCCTGCAGTTGGACACCACCAGCGTGTTCCATGATAATGTACGCCGACCCGATTGGGTTCGTTGGATCATCACACCAATCCAGAATGGCTGGAATTGGGATTTTAGTATGTCGTCGCACTGAAGACAGAGGTTAGCACGCATCACCCAACTATCTACTACAGTTATGAAATTCTCTTTCTCACAGTAAGTAATTGTTGCCACCTCAGAGTTCGTCACATATCTGGCTGGACCAGCAACAGAGGTGGGAAATTTGGCAACAACCTGTCTTCCATTGTTGGTCGTGATGACGAAGGCCCTACTGAACCCTCCCTCCAGCTTCTGACAGCTTTTGATTGAAGTCGCGGACGGGCAGAGAGAGAGCACTCTTTCATATAGGCAATCCAAATTAAATTCAAGGTACCGCGCGTCGCGTTGTAGTTTGTCCAGGTGAAGCCATCGACCGGCTGTGTAGGCAAATGCTGCTATATCGTGTTAAAAAACAAAGAAGGGAAAACGGGGGAAATCACCATAGGACTTTACAGCAGAACCTACTGCTTGAAGACAGGTGTTGCAGCATGGCTGATTGAGAGACTATCTTCTGGTGAACTCCGCGGGTTGCTGCGAAGGTATGTGGTGAAGATCCGTTACGAAGGATAGTTTTCAGGCTGAGCCTTTTAAAAGAGCACACAAACAGCGCGCAGGACTTCGGCCCCATAATTTATCCCAAAGATTAATATCAAGAGGTCGACAACTCGATCTTTGAGCCGTTCTGCACTTGCTTCCTTCAGTTTTCAAGGTCACGTGGATGGGCTCTTGAACCTTGGATTAGCACAAGATATTTTTTTTTTATAAAAGGGAGGGTTGGAGGGGGAATCTTCTTCTCTTCTCTTCTCTTCTTTTCTTTTTTTTCTTCTAGGGAGGGGAGCAATAATTGTTATTATCTATAAATACCTATACAACTAGCAACACTGAAGGAAGATATGGTCTATCTATTATTATATCATAATATCCCGAGCGCCGAATTTTTCCTTCTTTTTTAAAAAGATAAAAATAAAAATAAAAATGTATCAAGTCTTCTTCATTTATTGATTGGGAAGCTCGCGTCATGAACTGGTAATTGTGGTCATTTGCAAGCACTGAGATAAAAAATACAACTGTAATTGTGGTTCTCTGCAAGGACTGAAATAATATCTACTCTCTCCTGGGAAACTGAACTCGGATAGAAATCCACCGCCACGCAACCCGAAAACCAATATCTGAACCACAATAAGATACTCCGCTAATTGGGCTCTAAGCGCTTCTAACGGGAAATGAAAACGAATCAAGCGACGATATGGCTTCGTAAGAGTCGAACCTCTCGCATGGAAAATGGAGGACAAGGGATTGAAAATATCATCCCAGAGTTACCCGTTATGGTCTTGCTCCTGCTTTAATCTTGCTTCTTCGTCATCAGCAGTTTTCATGTCCATGAGATTCTGTTTGCCCTTGGTCTCCAGTTCTTCTAACATACTATGGTACTCGGCATGCTTGTCGGATGCGACGGTATTGAACTTGGCCGTGGCCAACCTTGCGTGGGTGGAAAATTTCTTCAACCAGTCTTCGAGTCCTTTGCTCTTAGTCTTCAAGTTGACTTGCAACACAACGTTAAGCATTTTCGTAGCGGGATCGTACTTCCCGGCGTCGATACGGAGAGGGGTGTTGTGGATCTTTTTTCTTGGTGGGATTATGCGAGATCCTTCAGTGACAAATTCAGTAAATTTCGTTGGTCCATTTTTTATGCCCTTGAAGGCCGTTATTGAGGCTTCAATTGCTTTGGACATGGCCGTGGAGCGATTGTGTGGACCGGGGGGAGGGAATATATCAATCGGGGTGTGGAACTGGTTGAAAAATACGCAGGATATTGGTCTGCGGCAATGACCCTGGGATCAGGGAGGGCATGTTGAGAAAAGAAACGTCTCCAGGACTTTCCTCCTCCTTATAGATACAACAACAGTACTGCTGGTCCGCCCTTGCCATGCGCGGTTGCATGGCATCATTGGGAATGGAAGCGCTGGCAAAAAATAAAAAGGAAATCACACAAGAGAGATTCCAAGCCGCCGAAGATTGCCCGTTTCAGAAGGCATCGACGGGCAACGAACAATTGGCTCAGTTGGCCAAATGAAACAGCGGCGGCGGTGGGAGCAGCAATAGATAACTGTAGGAATCAAAATAAGATAAAAAAGGGAAGGAAGAAAAAGGTCAAGAAGACAAAAGGTAAATTAATAAAACATATCTCTACGAAAGTCGTCAAAAAAAAAAAAAAAAAAAAAAAAAAAAAAAGGTCCACCCAAACGAAAATCACACTCAACATCTCCACCCCTCATGAATCCCCCTCCTCACCATCCGGCCCCTACCGCGCCGCAAGCCGACATTACCCTCGCCCACCAGCGCGCGCCACCGCCGGCCCACGCTATCGTGGTCCTTACCCATGCGGCGCGCGCACTCATTCCAATCGCGCTTCGACAGCTTCAGCTTCTCCAGCACGAGAGCCACGAGCCGTTTGTCGTCGGCGCTTGTCCAGTCGGTGGAGGGGAGGGGAGGGTGCGGGTGCGTGTGAGGAGCTGTAATTGTTGTGCTGGCTGTAGTCGTATGTATAGACGTAGAAGAACCACTAGTAGGTGTTGTGGTTGCGGAAGGAGAGGGGAAAGCCGAGATATTGTCGTCGTCATCGTCATCGTCAGCAGCAGCGCACAGTCGCTCGATCCGCGCATGGCACCCACACCCCCTATCATCCACGGCGCAGGCGCACTTTCGTCTACTTGCTTCTGGCGAGAGTGATTGCACCTGCGACAGCGACCGCGACCGCGATCGCAATCGTGTCGACACTGGCCCATGCCTCTCACTCTCATCCACACTCTCATCCACATCCACACCCACACCCGAATCTCCCTTCTCCTCCTCTTCCCGCCATGCCTCCAATGCTCTAAAATCCGCCCTCCTCAGACCCAGTGGTAAGTCCCTATCCTCCTCCTCAGATAGCATGCGCCGCCGTCTTTTTGGCGTCGAAAACCCAAACCGCCACACATCCCCATCATTCCCTCAACAGCACCACCAGCACAGCACCAGCACCCTCCTCTCAT